AAAAAAAAAAAAAAAAAGTCTCTCTTCACATTTTTCTTTTTTTTTTATTTTAAAATTTGCATCAATCCCTACCACCTTTTATACATGGTGAACATTGTTGATGGAACAATGCCATACAAATGACAATACGCAGTCAGAAATCCTTTCAAAATAGATTTATAAATATAGGGCTGATGAATCTGTGCTAAGCAATAAGCATACAATAAAAATATTAAAGATATTCAACAACTAATTTGTGTCTTCAACTGAAATCTTCAGCGCCCTGCATATCCCTGAGTTCCATGAGGTCCTGCGAGACACTCGAGTTTCTAGTTTTAAACATTGAAAGTTTTCTACCAGAATCCAGTGTAGATGAACTAGATCACTCATTAACTGAAACTGAAATATATGTTGTGTTACCATTTTATCATTGGTTTAGATTTTCTTTTCTTTTGTGTATGGTAATGTATGATAATGAGGTGGAAAACAAAGAAAAATAAATTTGAAACCCAAATAACAACATAAATTTCCGATTATAGTGGGAAAATCACAAACCAAAGTGATGGCAAGTAAATGGATTCAAAGTTGTTGTTCCCTGGATGCTGGCACTGATACTAGATGTACAAAAAATGTACACTTCTCTAAAAAGAAATGCCACATGACTGCTTCCAGGGGACATGCCAAACAAGTAATTCATGTCACTGTAATCCAAGTTAATGTTATGGATGTTGTATTTCAATCTTCTTCTTGGTTTAAATTTTACTTTCCTTTGGTTCAAACTCATTATCATACATTACCATACCCCAAAACAAAGGAACATAAAATTTAAACCAAGGAAATAATTGAACCACAACATGGCCACTATTATTGACCTTCCACAGAGGGATAAATATAAACATTAACACAAGCAATTTGCAGTTTCAAATTTTTTAATCATACCCTTCTGTTGATCAATTTTTATCACCTAACTTGCACCTATGCTTGCTTTAAAGCAACAAAGGAAACCTTGAATGCTGGAATTCCTTCGGCAATGATTTTGTTGTGTTGGAAAAGAGAATCAATCACGCATGAGATAAACTGCAAACATAACTACATCGGGTGTTTACATTTCTGGTTTGTGACAGCTTCTTGCTGATTATCACTTTTATCAGCGAAAGAAGATTGCCTTTCCTTTTCACTGTGGACTTCATCTGCCGCATCTTCCTTTTCTTCAACTTCTTCATAACTGTGCCTACTTGCGATCAGTGACTCGGTTACGGGCCTTACAGTTTTGCACTCAAAATAGTAGCCGACATTCTTCCCACCTATCCACCCATCCACACTTTCATCCATCTCTGGCTCGCTACACAAGTTGCAAATGGCTACTTTGCAGTGAATGCAGCGATATTTGGTCCATCTTTTGCACTGTTTACAGTTCTCTCGGTCTTTTGTCGCCATTTTCTCTTCTTCGTAAAACTTACAAGCATGCGTAACAAGGTCTCCGAGGGACTTATGGGAAGATTTTTATAAATTGTTATAATGTATGCATTTGATTCGGCACATGAGAAGAACGCCGTATGAATCACCTGCTGCTCCAATGTCGAATAATGGGACAGACCCTGTCAAACTTAACGCTTTTGCTGTACCAAATTGAAACTGCCGTACCAAACTGATTGTGACGCCGCTCTTTTGCCGTACTTAAAACCTGAGTTAGGTTTGGCACGAGTGGAGCGGCGTCTGAACCGGGCCTCAGATATAGAAATTGTAGAAAGGTCAGGCATACTTGACTTACCATTTAGTGAAGGGGATTCTGTAGGGGCAGATAAATGTTTCACTACAAGTGACATTTTACCTTTAGGTGTCTCTTTAATTATTCCCCCGTCCCGTGGGAGCAGCTGCAGATTAATGCCACCTGAGGATGTGGTGACCATACAGGAGATTGCACGACTCCGTATCCACTTAGAACATGCAATCAATAAAATTAAGAACTTTCATATCTGTGATTCTGTTTTACCCCTAAACCTCTGGCATTGCGAATCAAATGTGGTCTGTCTGTGCATTTTTCTGCATCATCCAAGATCCAATCATATCAAGGTGACATGATATAAAATATTTTCTCTGATATGCATTGCCACTTAAAACCAACATTATGAAATGAATATTATGAAATTGAATTTTTATAATTTTTGAGCTAAACAAGACAGTATCCTCACAGGATACTTTGCCTCGAAGTCTATGTTAGTGAATCAGGGAAATCTGCACAGGACTGAGACTTAAGAGTACAACAGGGATACAACTTACAATAGTAATTCTTCTAATGGAATTGAAATTCATAGGACAGGGATCCCTTTGGTCAAAAAACGCAGCAGGAGAATGATACATCAGTGGACCTCTGAGTTATGCCAGTTGATCTCATCAGATGGAGAAGTTTGGCAGCAAGTGTTTAAAACATTGTGATCTAGTGACTGCATTCTGATACAAACAATAATGCTCTTTATTACAGTTGATGTGGTTCAATTTTATCCATGGTCAAAAATTTTAT